AATTACGCAGTCGGGGTTGTTTTGGGACAAAAGTTCGGTAAGGACCGACATGTTATATCTATGCTTCTAGCATATTGCCCAAAACAACTATTTAACGACTGAGAAAGAGCTTTTATCCATAGTATTTGCTTTAGAAAAGTTTCTTTTATATCTACTTGGTACTACATTTATATTCTTTTTTCTGATCATGCAACTCGTAAATATTTTATGAAGAAGGACTCTAAACCATGTCTTATTTGCTGGATGTTGCTTGTGTAAGAATTCGACCTTGAAATCCGGGACAAGAGCGAATCAGAGAACCTAGTAGCTGATCATTTGAGCCGATTGCTAAATGGTGAAGACCCTTCTATATTGAAGGATGTGTTTCTCGATGAGCATCTTCTAACCATTCAAGGGACCATGCCCTGGTACGTTGATATTGGAAACTACTTGGTTACAAACACCTTGGAAGGTACGTTGACTAGAACTGAAAAGGATAAAATCTTAAGCCATGCTAAGTTTTATGTCTAGGATGACCCTTACTTTTGGAAACATTGCTTTGATCAAATTATCAGATGATGTATCCGCTAAGAGGAAGTACAACATGTGCCTTGATTTTGTCATGAATATTCTTAAGAAGCTAATGATGATCCACTTATCATTCTAGTTGCAGCTAATAACCGAAGTGAATCTTCTTTAGATATCGTTGCAATGCCCATTAGATGCATTCCTCCCTCTACTTTAAACACTGACCAATCAGTGAATGAAATGCCTTCAGCATCTGAACCTCTATCAGTCGCTGAATCTGAGGCTCCTTTAGAAGTTATACTTATTGCTGAAGAATCTGCAGCTGAAGCCTCATCTTCTGTTCCTGAACATCAATGCTCAGATGACAATCCTCTATCAGCTCAGCAATGGACAAAAGACCATCATATTCATCAAATTCTTGGTGATCCAAGTGCAGGTATTCAGACTCGTCGCGGTCTATGTAATATTTGTCTCTTTGTTAACTTCCTTTCTTTAGTTGATCCCAAAAAAATCAATGATGCTATCTCAGACCCAAGCTGGGTCATTTCCATGCAAGAGAAGCTCATTGAGCTTGATAAGAACAAAGTCTGGTACCTTGTCCCACGTCCATCTGACAAGACTGTGATAGGCACCAAATGGGACATCACACCATCCGCATATTAAATTTATCGCTCAAGATGTAATCTTGATACATTTTCATCTCTCAATATATCTTCTGGAGATCACACTCATCACTCAAATCTATGACTCATCGCTCAAGTCATAACTCTCATCACTCAAGTATGTGATTGGATACAACCTTCATCGGACACCATATCATCCGGATAGGAACTTCATCAAACACCTTATCATCTGGATTGATCCTTCATCGGACACCTTATCATCTGGATTGCTCCTTCATTAGACATAACTTCATCCAGATTGGTCCTTCACCAGATATACCTTGTCCGGATTGAGCTTCATCAGGCAAGCCTTTGTCCGAATAAAATCTTTATCGAACAGGCCTTTGTCCAGATATCATCTTCATCTTTCAAGTCTTTTTCCTTTCCTTCAAAATTCCTGTAAAAGTTATATCAGTTAAATTTCCAACTTATAATCAAAAATGAACTAAAGATATTTATTTCCCCTTAGAAAATACATCAAATAAAAGTTCAAATACTTTATTAGTTGATACCAATAATGAAAAATATTATACTCCCCCTAGAATTAATACCAGTTCCAAAATAATTCAAAAATATATCATTATACTCCCTTTGAAAACAGATAAGCCCGGTTCTAAACTACTTTGTCCATAAATTGATTTGAAGACCAGGTCCTAAACTGTGTATTTAGAAACTACATTAAAGCACAAATTTCATATAAGCTCCCCCTCAAACCAAGCTTCAGGTTATCATGTCTTAAATCTTCTAAAATCAGCTCAACATATGATAAACCTGCAAAAACAAATTACATAGATTTTGGTATCCATATTTTTATGGATCCTAGCTTGTTAGCTTTAGTTTGGGGTATACTATAAGTTCCAAACCATCTGTTCTGATAAGATGTTTTCACATGAGTATTCTTAACAGGTAAATCAGATATGCAATAAGTACCATACCAGTTGTTATCATACATATCATTCCTAGTCCAACTGTTATTCCTCTTAACTTTTCCATTCCACCTATTTACTTTCTTCTTGTTTATGAAATCATTTGTTCCACAAGTTGAACATTGAATCGTTCTCTTGCTAAGACTAATAAGTTGGTTAGTAGACTTAAAAATGCAAGGTAAAACAGTCTTAGACACAAATGATTTCTTATTACAAACAGAATTTTGAGAAGATATACCATCAAATTCAGATTTCTTCATCCAAACCTTTTTAACTGTTTGAAAATGATCATTTGATTCAATAACATAATCTTTGTAGTACTGATTTGAAGTATGAGATATATTCTTTGAAACATATGGTTTAGTACTACCTGAATAACTGTTAGATTTGACACTTTAACTATCATTCAAGCAGGTTTTACACTTAGAATGAGATTCAGTTGAGCTTGAAGTATTTGATTCAGAAATTCTTTTATTTTTCTTTAGCAACTGATCTCTCTCTTTAGATACTAAATCATATTTTTTTAACCTCATATCTCATATTCATTTCTGATACAAGATCGGTCTTTAAATCAGATAATTTCTTTGAAGTTTCAGAAATCTTACCTTCCAGATCTGATTTCTCCTTTTCAAAGCTTTTTCTTTCCTTTTCAAATTCTTTCATTTCATTCTCAAAACTTCCCTTCTTATTATCAGAAGCAATGTCCAACCATTTCTTTTTCTTAATCAGCTCCTTAGCAATAGCTGCATTCTTCTTAGCAATATTCTTTCTTTCAGTAGCAAATGCATTTCTTTCCACATCCAGACTCTTTTTATCAGCAGCAATGCTCTTCGAAAGTTCTAGATATTTCTTCTTAGACTCATTCATTAAATCTTTCTTCTCATTCTCAAGTTTATCTCTTTCCACAATAATTATCTTTTCAAATTTTCAAAATATTTCTCTAAAAGCTTTGCATTGCTCAGCTCAAGAACTCTAATTTTGCTTTCAAGAATCTTCTTTTCAGCATCAAATTTCTTTTCAGCTTCAAAAAACTTTTCCATTTTCTTCTCAATTCTCTTTTTATCAGAATCCAAACTATCAGACTATAACAAATTTTCCAATCCAATTAATTTTTTCCTTTCCTTCTCATGAATTTTTCTTTCTAAATACAAAGCTCTTTCAGCTTCATAAACCCATGTTGTCAATCAGAATTTTTCTTTATTTGCTCAACATTCCTTTCTTGGAGATCAGATAAAAATACTCTAGAAATAAGTTCACCAATTTCTTCATTTAAAAGCTTATTTTCTTTAAGATAATGCTCATTTTAATTAACCAAGTATTTTGCCCAGCTAAGATTAGAATAGTTTTCGTAAAACATTTTTACATATTCGTCTTGTTCCTGTTTCAATTTCTTTTCAAGTTCAGAAACTCTCTCTTTCAATTCCTTATTCTCTCTTTCAATCTTTAAAGTCATTTCAAATTATTTTCAAATTGATTAATCCCAAAATGATTTTTATACAGTTCAAAGCTTAGAAACAATCACCAAATTGCTCCTTGTCGGACACCAAAAGATAAGCCTTATTGGATAGAACTCTTATCTTCTAACAAGGTTAACGGACAACCCTTATTGGTCAAAACACCTTATCGATCACTACTTTATCGGACAGGCTTTATCGATCAAACCCTTGTCTTTCACAAACCTTTATCGGTCAAGCCCTTATCGATCAAACACTTTTATCGGACAAGTCATTAACTGGAATCAGTCTTTTATCGGTCAAAACACTTACCGATCAAAATCCTTTATCGCACAAATCACAACAAATCAGCCAACAAGGAATTCATAAAGAGATGAAAAAAGCCTTATCGCTTGATGAAGATGTTCATCAGGAGATGAAGAAAACTGTTAGTAAAAAATTCCAGAAAATGATCCAAATCACAAAAATTCACACCAAAATGAATAGAATTATAACATATCGATTCACAGTTGGCTCAAAAACAAGTTTTCAATATAAACTCATACCACAAACAGATCAAACAGTCCAAATTTGATAAAAATCACATGAACAGTTCAAAAAACTTTCAAGAACTTGAAATACCAAAAATCCAAAATTGATTCTAGAAATCAATTTAATTTTAAAATCAAATGATTCTACTTAGTTTCAATTGAAAATTCATATACAAATCAATCAAATTCACAACAAATTTCACACGAATTATCAAAAATTGATTAGAAACAGTAGCAAGAAAGAGTTTGATGAAGAACAGTCCAAAATTATCCAATTATGATCCAAAAACTGGTCTAATTACAATCCAATCTAATTTTCTAAGTTGTTGTATTCCGTGCTGATACCACTTGATAATCACATTTATGGATTAATCAATACACAATTCTTGATTCAATGATCAACATTCAAGAACAACTAAGAATGTAGAGAGAGTAGAGAATCTAGAGAGAGAAATCTTGAAATCGCCAATTGTATTCAAACCAATCAAAGTGTCAATCCGTATCTTGAAAGCGCCAATCCTTATCTCACTTCTACTAGCACAAATCCCACTACTAAAACTAACAAAGCACCTATATATAGAACAAGATAAGCACAAGGACATAAATCTTGGATACAACATATTTAGATACAAAACTTGGACCTAACAGGGCTAGTAGTCAGATTTTTAATTAGAGGTGCCATATTAGTGAGCTAAGTTGTTAATGTTGTGTAAGCATCTACCTCGTGTACCCCTGTTGTTTTTTTAGTATTAGTGCATGTGGGTCTGCCCAATATCCATTATTGTTAAAAATATTCTCAACTATGTTAAAACCTTTATTATACGTATTAGCTGTGAAAGCTCGCCTGCAGTAGCATCAAGTATTTGTCTCGCAACAGTATTTAAACCATTGTAAAATGTTTGTAGTTTTATGCAATATGAAATGCTATGGTGTGGGCATTTTCTCAGTAGCTCTTTGTGCCTTTCCCATGCATCAGGAACTACATCATCCATTTGTTTAAAAGTGTAAATTTCATTTATGGATTTAGCATTTCTTGTGGGTGAAAAATATATATTTTAAAATTTCTCGCCATTTGGTTCCATGTAGTCACAAAATCCGGTTTTAAAGAGTTATACCAAGCTTTGGCTCTATCCCATAGTGAAAATGGAAAAAAAATTAGTCGGTGCATTGTTTGTGACTCCACGGATTGTGAAGGAATCTATGATTTCCCTGTAAGATCTCAAATGACTGTGAGGATCTTTTGATGACAAACTAGCGTACTAGTCGTTAGTTTGTAACATCTGAAACATCACTAGCTTAAATTCAAAATGGTTGGTAGTCATAGTGGGTTTTACAATTTTCGTATGTAACTGGGACAAAACAGGAATCGTATAGTCCATGATGCCTCCATCTTTAGAGTTTGCAAGCCTAATGATATTTATTCCTCGTCCAAAGGTGGATTATAATTGTCTCGGTCATTTTCAAGATTTCTTCTGAAAATCCCTCTTCTCCCCTTCTATCTTCAGCCATTGTTGAAGAGGTTAAAGCAAATAAAGCTCTTTGCACTCTTCTTTATTATATGAAAGTGTTTTCAATTTCTGGGTCAAGTTAGAAAAATCTCTGTGGAACAATAGGATGCACCGATATTTTCAAAAAGGTGGTAGAAAATTCAGCTTTTACAAACTTTAATTTAGTTTGCCATCTTCGGGAGTGGTGAAATAGTTAACTCAGAGTTGCGGTGGGAACCCAATCGATTTGTCCTCTTTCGCCATGTTTGTCGCCCTACCCTAGATTTCAACTGTTTTCTTCGCTGCTTCTTTTTATTACAAAAGATTAAACAAAAGCGGTTGCTAATGCTTGTATGCCAAAAATTTGTTGTCGTGGTTAAAAAACCCTTGAAATTCAACATAAAAATAGACCTTAGCAAAGTATACACCTTGATCTAATGTCGTATTGTAACAAGTAATAATGGTACAAGTACCGAATATCATTCCCATAAAGATGGATTATAAAGTCTTTCAAAAAGTTCAGTCTCTAAAAATTGATTTCAGATGGTGAACTCGAATAAATATTTTGCTTGGTTGGTTAATTATCAACTACGAAAAATTTGTCTTAAAAAGAAGTAAAGGGTGTAAAGGTCTGTTAGGACTGCAACAAATGATCAATTGGATAAATACTATAGCATTTTTTGGGCAGTCCAATAGTACTATTAATTAGCATGATTGTCCTGCCATAGATATCCAACTATCAGTTCAGACGGTCTTCCAAGAATACACACAGGTCGGTGTACATACGACATCATTTATGTTAGACATCGTGAATCCTAGTACAACATTGTGTTACCATCCTACACCGTATAAGTATAACATTTGTTAGGTACTAAAACTATTTTTAGTCTTCTTATATTATCTTGGGTTATCGTATTTATCTTTACTCTAAAAGTTAATGCATTTTCCTATATGAAATAAGTTGTCAATTAATTTAATGTTAATTTCAATAAAATATTTTAAACCCAAAATGAGTAGTTAGATAAAAATGCCATATTAAAAACACATTTCCAATTTTAAATCGGTCTCGATCCTAATTTTTTCATTGCACCCCAAGATAAGACGATTAGTCCATCATTGTTTGGTTTCTTTTTAATAAGGAAACGTGTTGCGCAAGTTACGGATTTCTAGAATAAATACTAAAATTAAATTGCACGGAAATGTAAATGACGTAAAGTCAACTACGTAAACTAAAGTGCGACAAAATAAATGAATATAAAGTAAATGCAGGAACTGTAAATATAAAGTGGTAAATTGAAATAAATAAATGAATGCATAAAGTTTCGTAACAATTCGTAAATATTTGCATGGCTTAAAAATAACGTTTTCGGCCTTTGAGATAATAACCCACGTACTACAATGGACTTTTAATCCACGTATTGTCACGTTCTAAGGTGTTCTCTAAAAGTAAAACCGAAAATTAAGTTTACAACAATTAGCAAATAAAAGAAATGAACTAAAATTTATCCATACAATTAATAGTACTTGAAAGTTAAAGTTCAAGGACAAAACATAAAAGACAAAATTACTTGAAACTAGAATTAAGAATGGATGGATGGATGGATGGATGGATGGATGTGGGCTTTAGAGAGAGAAAGGAGAAAAATGTTTTAAGTTACAAATTAGAATTGTTATTAATTAGATCTTTAACAAAAATGACTTAGGGGCTGTTTACCAAACATTTACTTGGTAAGTGCTTACCAGTAAAATTTAACTCTATTATTTACTAACCGGGTAAGATTTTAATCTACCAAAACGATATCGTATGCGACAATTTACCCGGTAAGCACTTACCGTGGTAAGAGTTGGCGCTCTCACTTACCGGGTAAGACACTTGGTCCTTGTCTCGTTCTTACCGAGTAAGATTTTTTGTCTTTACCATATTCATGCAGTGAGGTAATGTTACTTGGTAACCGCTTACCCAGGTAAGCATTTGGTAAACGGTCCCTTAAACTTCCTTAAATAGCATTGAAGGAATACAAATACTTGGGGCCACGTTTGAACAAAAAAAAGCCTAGGGTAGTCCAATAGCTCAAAAATAGGTCTAATATTTGGCCCAAGCTTGGCCCAAAATTCAGCTTCAAACCCACTATCAAAAATCTTACAACATTATGTAGCATTGCTTCAACTTCAACATAGTCCTGTAAAAATTTAACCGATTTAGCATAAATGAGATTTTTTACCAATTTAGTATATGAAATGCAGGGAATTCATACATCTTATATAAACTCCATAAATACATAAATGTAAAAGAAAAGAATGAAAAGACTTAAATTGGGAAATAAAATAAACCTAAAAGAGTGTAAAATTAGTGCAAATATAGTTAATAAATTAACACCTGTCGATACGGTTCACACTTAACCAATAAATCTAACCAATGATGGCCGGGTTAATGTAATCACCATACCTAACTGTCACTCAAGTGAAAATGCTACAAACATCGGTTCTTTTAATTATTATTCACTAGTGTTTGACACCATGCGTTGCATGGTGACAATAATCCTTTTTAAAATTATTGAAGTTAGCTAAATGAGTCGATGATCACATTTATATATTAAACTAATAATAATCAATATTACCTTTGATATATGAATCCACCTTATCATTATTGGTTGTTCTTTTAATATATATATTTATATATAGACTATTTAAATTACAAAAATGAAATCTTTTAACGATTAATGCGGTTGAAAATATTTTAAAATAAATAGAATTTGAAAAAAAAAAGTTTCAACAATTGTATGTTGAAAACATTTTAATGTAAAATATCAATGAGAAAATAAAAAAAGATGAATATGAAAAATGGTTTTTCATTAAACTTGGTTTCTCAAGATTCCATGAGGAATAGTTGTTGTCAACCAAACTCTAAAACAATTGCTAAAAACATATTGTTGGTTCTATTGGGAAAAAAAACTTAAAAAAGATGTAGAAGACATTAGTTAAAGAAAACCTCTAAAATCCTAACAAAATTAAGAAGAATTGCATATTCGGATTAATCGTCTCGAAATAAACCTGAAAAAAAAATATAACCATTTAAAAAGGGCATGTTGAAGTTTGGTGATGCTACATGAAAAATTGTAACAAAAAAACTTCAAAAATCTCAATAAAAGTCAAAAGGAATGCATACACACATTAGTTTTCTCAAAATATACTTGAAAAAGATAACCATTACAAAAATATGTTGAAATTTGTTGAGGSTACATCATGGTTTGTAATACTTCCAAGATTCTATCATCAGACGATTAATCGAACCATTGTTGCCATGAAAACTCTAAAAGTGTTGTCAAGAACAAACTCTCTGTTTCATTGAGAAAACTTATAAAAATCATAGAAGAGAAAAGTACAAAAAACAAAATTCTAAAATCCCAACAAAAATAAAAAGGAACGCATACCTGAATTGGTCTTCTCGAAATAAACTTGAAAATAGATTTATTGAAAAATAACAATTTATGAAATGAAAAACAAATCAAGTGATGGAGATGGAGAAAAGTGAAATGAAAAACAAATCAAGTGATGGAGATGGAGAAAAGTGAAATGAAAAACAAATCAAGTGATGGAGATGGAGAAAAGAGATTGAATGATGAACAATTTATGAAGAAGAGTTAGGGAAAATGAAAAGATTGTGTTAAATGCAAACATAAATGAATAATCAATGTTTATAGAAATTAGAATGTGAAATTAAAAAAAAAGATTAAAGGAAGATAAAAGGAAAAAAAAGATAAATAAGTTTCCAACCTTTAGGAGAAGCCAAGTCATCAACCTTGGTTTCTCCTTTAATATATATAGATTAAGACTTCATTGACTTCCCCATCAATCATCCAAGAAAAGAATTTTTTTCAATTATACACATGTAACTGTAGATTCATAATAACATTGACCAAGTGCTACCACACATGAGAATTTTTGTTACTGTCATCATGATTCTCTATTCTAGCAACTCTATTGAACCTAAAATATCCAATCTCAAAGCGTCTAACCATATATTCTCACTTTCATTCACTTAAAAAACGCTAGTTCAGGCAAGAATAGAAGTTATAATGAGAAAGATGAGGAAAGATCTCTACCCTTTGATCAATCTTAATTGAAGATCAAAACTAATGTGGTCCACCAAGATGCACCAGATCAATTTACGTGATAAGCGCAATTCATGGGGTGGGGTGTGAGATTAAAAGTGATCAAAGATTTAAATTCTTTCTTACACTTTTCACCTTAACTTCTATTCTCATCCTTCATCTATATAAATATATATGGTTGAGTTCATGTGAGACCAGACTGTGTTCATGAAACCCATTATACAATCTTTTTACATTTGAAACTTAACAACAAAACACTGTGAAGGTAAAAAAAAATCCGAACCATCACAACAAAAACACTATGAAAGTTACCTTCATTTCACAGTGTTTTGTTGTGAAGTTTCAAGTGTGAAAAAGTGGCATCACGGATCTTACAAAAAAAAGCTGACCTTACATGATCCCAAGTCTCTCTCTCTCTCTCTCTCT